TGATATTTCCTAGTTTTGTTTAATCTGAATCTTGATAAAATGACATTTTTAAGAAGAAACAACTTTTGGATCTTGATACCAAAAATCAGAGATATGGGAGTTTTGCTATTAAAATCGAGTTTACGAGCATAGTAATTCATATGATTCGTAACATGATTTTAATAGCAAACCTCCCATATTGTAAATTCATCAAATATTTGTATTGCTTTAACCGTCGCATTATTACAATTAGGAACATATAAAGGATAATTAATAGAAACTTACCTCCCCCCCCCCCCAATAGCAATCAACATATTTTGCAAAACTATTGCTAGCAATTACAGTAAATATCCAACAGACCAAGAATTTAAACAGTTTCCTTTGGACCCATTCACCACTAGTCCAATAATATGCAGCTATGCAGCGTGGGAAAAAAGGAAAATGGATTATCATTTGGATCAAAGTTTGTCGCATGGATTTGTAGCAATTCCAACTAAATGTAGTTTCTTTTGTTTTAATATGTGGATTTTTTTTCAAAGATTTATTTTAAATTTGATACTTTGCATTGCTTGATAATTAATATACGGAAATAAAAAATCAAAAATTTTTTTTTTTTTAAAGAATAATCAACATATTTGAAAAACTACAATTAATAAGATATTTCTACAATTATTTGAGAGTCTATTGCTTCAACGCTTCCAAAGACGTAATGTATTTTTGTCATAATTACCACAGGCATTACAGTTGAAAGTAGATCAAACCAATAAATACCATGTTGAATTATTTGCATTAATTCAGTAATAAATAGATATATTGCTAAGGGCCAACTTCGATTTTTCGGTTCACGTCACCCGGCCGGGTCACTTTTCAAATTTTAACAAAAATTTATCATGTGACTATAAGTGTAATTTTATTGGTAGATTAAAGCTTTATTGTATTATCGTTTTGTATAATTCCTTTCTTACAGCTCATTAGTTTTCATGTAACTTCCCAAGCAACATTTTTAGTTTTGTTTTTTTCTCAACAGGTAAATCTTCCCCTTCAAAACATTAGAATTGTAACTTATTTTTACATGTATGATTTTAAAATTAAATGTGATTGTCGTATGATTAGGCCGGGCAAAGAAAATTTTTCTTTTTCATATGTAAATTTTTTTTATATGTATTGTTATTTCGCCGCTTTCTTTTAAACAAAATCTGATATGCCGATTTTATTATGTAAGATCACATGATAAAAATTTTACTATAAAAAAAAAAAAAATCTTGAATTTTCGTCATTAATAAACTCCGGGTTTCCGGGTCGATTTTAAATTTCAATGTTACTTGAACTGAAAAATCGAAGTTGCATGGCCTAAATAGTAGGATACATCAATTAAAAAAAATAAAAAAAATTTGAAATCCCTCGGCAGGGATACTACGTAAAAACATTAAACTAATCAAAATAAAACAAATTCCAAAAATAACAAATCAAGAGAATAAGTAAATATTTGCACTCGGCCAATGAATTTTAATAGATTCATGGATTATTGGAATATCAAATATATCATCAATATCAATGAAATTTGTTTTGAACAATATAGAATATTAATATATAATCTTTTTGTGCACATTTTATAACCATCTCTGAGTCATACGATTTCAATTTGGATTTTACGTTTTAAAATTATTTGAATCTTTTTAACTTTCTGGTATACTTTCTGTATTATGAAGAAACGTCAATTCCACAATGAAATCAATCCATTTCAAATTTAATAAAATTTTAAAAATGAAATCATACCATAGTTTAATATATTCAATAGAAAATATGCATCGGAAACCGCCATCTGCATATAATATATGCAACAATTTTGGTTTACGACCTACGAGTAAATAAAATAATTTAATGTTGTTTTTAATCTATCAGCAAATTATATGTGTGTGTGTAATTCTTGTAAAATTGGGCTTGCCTCTACAATGATAAATTGCAAAATTCACATCTGTCGTTGAATGTTCAACTTCCTCCTTCCGACCTATATATTTTTTTAATCTATCGTGTAACGGTAATGCTAATAATATACTTTGGTTTATATTTCTCTGCAATTATAAAATGCTAAATTAATACATGTCTTTGTTATTACGCTCTGCAATAAAATCTTATTTTAATCTGTCGACAAATAATGTGTATTGCAAATTATGTTAAGAATTGAGTTTACCTCTGCGATTATCAATACTGTATTATAATATATTTACGATCCTCATATATATAGAGATCATGCCGAATCCAAAAAGGTAATGAATTAAAATGATTACAATCACCAAGAAAAAATTCTCGTTTTGCAGTGCAGTAAATCTCCAGATTATATGATCAATTTACTTAATCGTTTCTTTATATTTTTTATTTTAAGAGAAATCTTGTGCTTACTTTATGAAGAAATTTTGCACGTATATTAAAGAAATTTAATGCTTCACAAGCATGCATACCTTATTTCGTTTAGTTTTCATTATTATCACTCCATTAAATTATTTTTTTTTCTTAATTATCATTCCTTCTATTCTTTCCATAACTTCATTTTTTGTGTTAGTCAATTTTTCATTTATTGAACTTACATATCAATAAACCTTCATGCGAAAAATATTTCGTACCATATTGAATATGTAATTTGTGGTGATTTTCATTTTCTTGATTAGTACAAGAAACGATTTTCCTTTATTGGGAAGATTTTTTTTTTTCTCTTTATTTTTATCATTGAATTTATGCCAGATCTGAATGGTAGACATACCAACCATAAGTTATTATAAAATAAAAAGAATTTTCATAATTTTTTTTTGTTACCCATGGTTCTGATTCTTTAATTAATGCTCGAAATTATCATATTTATTTTTATAAAATGATATAGCGTGATTTTTAAATTTTTAAATGATTAGATGTTACTTTCCCTTCATTAACTTGCAAAAGAATTTCCGGAGGTACTACTAAACGAGCATTAAGATTTGCGCCGTAAGATTTTCTACTGGTATTACTATTTCAACCTCCTCATATATATCCCAGCTAAAAAAAAATCTTATGATCATCATTTTCACCAATCAAAAAGTAATTTCTCATCGCATTCAATTAAACGTATATTGAGTTTTTCAAATTTTTTTTTAAGTTACATAAAATTTATTCTTTCGGAAGGAAATAAAATTAAATAGCACGTGATTGATCACATGATAACTCACCCAATAGATTGAAATTTGTTTATTGATCGAATAACATTTTGTACATTTCGTTTCATTATCGTTATTGTCGTCATTGCTGATTTTACACTAGTTTTTATTTCATTTCTTCTAGATCCCATAAATTTGTTAATATCAATTCAATAAAAAATGTGTAAAAATGTATTAGTTACCTTCGAGAAATTTTTCGTCAATCAAGAAATTTTTTTATTAATATGTGAAAGGAGTAAATGCAATTCTGTGAATCTACCTGTAAACTTTAAATTCATTCATGTCGCTTTCCGGATAATTAAATCTCTCTACATCATTAAAAGTTTTGTTTAATTATAGCTAAATACTGTTAAAAAATAATCTGATTCAACATCCATAGCTTCAACAAGTATATAATCTATTATAATTATATTTAACTTTATTGTAAGTCTCCTTCGTCTCCTTCGCGTCATCTTTTAATTTAAGATAATAAATAGCGGATTCGGGAAACAACAACGTATATAAATACAAACATCTCCATTATTGGAATTGCAATCATTTTAACATTTTAATCTCGTGTATTATTATTCTCTTACGTTCTTTTTCATAAATTTCTCATCTATTCGATAAAAATAAAATTTCCGTCGTCGGATATTGGATATATCGATCGACCATCTATCATAGACGTAGGATGATGATCGTCAACTTAAGATCTTTCGACGTTCTTTTTCCTCGGAGGTAATAAATTCGCGATGAAAGGTATTTTTTAAATTTTAACCTGAAGGTTTCTAAATTACGATAAAAATTTTGAAGAAATTTTTTTTAAAAAATGCAGGATGTCATTACTCCAAATAATGCTTACCTGCATCGAACGTGACATCATATTTTTCATTTCGACTGATGACCATTTGATATCTTTTCTGAACATGGTCTTTGATAAAACTTTCATAAGACATTTGCTCAATAGGTTCTTTATTTTTTATATCAAGACAAATGTCGTGAAGAAATGAAGAATTGGCGGTAGGAATGGTGATTTTTACTTCTTTCGAAACGTTTGCAAAATCACGACACTGTGTCACGTTATAAGTCTTTTTTTTTTGTATTCGGAATTACAAAAAATTTATATGTATATATTTTTTTCCTAACTTTTGTGCTTAAAAGCTACTTGGATCAGAATTGGAATCCATAATAAACTAATAATAGTTACAATGCATATAAAGAAAAACTAAAATAAACTTGTGATCAATCAAAAAAAAAATATCAAAAATGCAAACTTAAAATTAAAGAATACAAAACATGCGGGCGTTCTGAATTGGAGATCAACGCAAATCAATTAATACTTATTGATAATCCGAAATAAGCTCAATCTCATGTATTTATCACGTGCAATGCAAGGTGACAATACCTTTTTTTTAAGAGTTGCTAACAAATGCATGTATAAGGAACTTATTTTTTTAAAAAATTAGTTAATTTAACCGTTGTTTCAAATCTTATTTGGTTAGGAAGGGATGCTCATATCTTGCTTTAAACAATTACATATTGATCAAAATACTTAAATGAAATTAGTAATCAAGAAAAGTCTCGGATGCTATGTGCATTAAATTAATGAATACTTTGGTATAAAATGAAAATGTCAATTTTTTTAAAATACTTGTACTAAAGATTATTTAAATTCATAAAGTTGTAGTGCAAGAATGATGTGCCATTTTCCCAAACTGACAGATTAAGATCAATGCTGATCAAAAACATATCGGGAACGTTTCGGAGATGTGTTTCCGTTTTTCCTGTTTTGATTTATATATATACCTATATTCCATTAAAAATTAATTTTAAACTCTTACCTCCAATTTATTCAAGATGGACGGTGAAGAAAGTTCAGGTAATCAAATGAATAAATGCATCATGTTTATTCTAGTGCGTTCAATATAGCTTGCTTAATGATTGATAATAGCGTATATTCTTCGACTCGACTCTTCTAAAAATTTAGCAAATTCTTCTGAATCTGCGTCCATTCCTCAAGAATCAGGACCTAGTAATCGACAAACTAAACGTAAATTATCAACAGCTCAAGATATGCATATGGATATCAGCATCCCTGATGAGATAACTGAAACCAAAACTACACTTGAGTACGATAACCAAAATGATTTGTGTGAATCTATTCCTGGCCTTTATCGACTACTGGATTTGTGCAAGGATGAAGGTTCCAATGGACTTGGTAAAGAATCTATCTTGTTTGAATCTTCTATTTCAAATATTCCACTCATGAAATCCTTTTGATATTACAGTTGATAAGATAATTATATCTCAACAAGATATTAAGCGTCTTTGCAATGAGATAATGCCAAATAGTTTCAAGTCCATCTCAAAGATAAATTACAAAAAGTTGAATTCCCGTTCAATCCGGCTCGTGGGGTGTTATGGCCGCAATGAACTAATTGCAAAGTTTTTGCTCGTTAAGGATATTATCAATAAGGAAAATTAAGTCTTTACTCTTTTAATATGTGATGTTATCTACTTCTTTTTAAATGGTAAATATATATGTATTAGTTATTCCACGGGGATCAATGGATATCATTGATTTTCACGGCGCAGCCGTGAAAATATTAATGATATCCATGTGATCGCCGTGGAATAACTTTTTTATCTCCTGGGGACTAACGCCTGTGATGAAAAATTTTAGTT